TTTTTTTTTTTTTTTTTTGGCTTGCTTGCTTGCTTGTCCTTGAACCCTATTGGACTTCAGCAATTTTGCTGTCTTGAGGAGTGTTCTACTAAGTCACTGCCTGTTCAGAAAAGAATGTAACAGTGTAATGACTGAGCTTGAAAGACTGTGGATTCTTTCCCTTTACAACACTTGATTTCAGCCTGTGAAAGAGGTGTTTTCCTACAGAATTGCAGATGAATGTTAACACCCTTGGCTGGATTTAAAACAAAGCAAAAACAAATAGTATATACCTAGTTTACGAGCCTCTTGTGTCCCAACTGAAGAAGAAATTTTGTTTAAACTGTGATTGGCTGTAACCTGTAGTTCTTCAGATTGGGTAAAGAAAACGAAGGACCCAGTCAAGTGAGAGACTCAGTCAAATACAAAGCTTTTATATTTTCATCTAAATTTTGAAAGATGTCTTGGAAAAGGAATTATTTTTCTGTAGGAAGGGGCAATGTTCAGGGGATGTTTACTCCACGCAATACAACCTCTATAGCACCCAGTAAGGGTCTCAGCAATGAACCAGGACAGAACAGCTGCTTTCTGAATAGTGCGTTACAGGTAAGGATGCTGAATACAGTTTGTGTCTGTGTCATTTCGTTTCCCTGTTTCACATCACTACTATTGCTAAATTATTCTTCTCAGACCTCTCTATGCAACAGGTACAACCAAGTTAGGGGACTCTTGCATCACAGTTGTTTCCTGACCCAAATATAATACAGTTTCATTTTGTGGCGCACATTAACTATATTCCATAACAGGGCAGAAGCCCTGGACTGTCTAAGATGGAAGCAAGTTAAAGGAGTACCATTTGATTTTTTTTAAATTAAAATTACTATAATTGAAGTATTAGAGGAGAAACCTAATTTTTCTTTTTCGTATTTTCAGTTTTACTTGCTGCATTTGATGAAAAATCTGTTTTCCACCTCCCTGATATAATTGATCTATTTTCCTTGTTGTTTATGTGTCTTAAATGCTACAAGAGAAGAAAAATATTTTCTTAAAAATAGAAAAAAATGTTTTTTTTTAAACTGATGTTGACAGAACTTCTAATAGGTTTTGCTACCTGAAACAAATTTAACTACTTAAAAGAAACAGGCTTTTTGTAATGGTAACAATATTCACTCTTAAATCCCCTGTGTGTGGTTTGTACAATCAACTTTGACTGTTGAATTATTTTAGAGGCTTATAGCTTAATGAGACAATCCTGACTACTTATAGGTGGGAGTTGAGTGAAATAAGTTCATAGTTCATATGAAACTATCATTCTATGCTCATCTGAGACCAAGAAATGAGGTCAGTTACTGTACCTTCAAGTCTGTAAGGAGGAAGTATTTCCTCCAGAGGAAAGCTACATCAAGACGTAAGCTGTTAGCAGACTGATGTTGGTGATACAAAGTTTGAGTTTGGCCTCTATGCAGTATGAATACCAGTCTTTAGAGGTTCAACTCTTTTGGTTGAGAGGGGTTCTCTTTGTGTTTGGGCTATAACTGATTCATGGTCCACCGTGAAATTTTAGTGTGGTTTTAACCTGAATATAATTGTAATTAATATGACTACTTTTTATGTGGATCAAGAATGGATGATTTTACTGGCCTGAGGTTTAAGAATTGGTACGCTAAATTCTAGTCTCAGACCAAATAGTGTACTATTAGAATAATTGTTAGTGGTTAAGGCACTAGACTGGAACTCAGGAGACATGGATATGGTTCCTAGTGCTGCCATAGAATTTCTGTTTGATTTTGGGCAAGTTGCTTGATTTCTCTGTGTCTAGGTTTTTTTGTACCCCACCCCTACCCCATGTGGAAAAAGGAGCGATTTATTGTCTTCCTTCCACCCTTTCCCTGTCTTGTCTATTTAGATTATACTGTCTTGCAGCAGACAGCATGGTAGGATGGCACCTTAGAGGCTAACAGGTTCAGAGAAGAATAAACTTTTTAGGTGACAGCTGACTGCACTAGATGCTATGAGGTTTGTTTTCTTTTTAAATTGTTGTCTATGCATGCTTATGCCTTTCTGAACCAGTTAGTCTCTAAAATGCCATCTTGCCCTTCCTTCTGCCTGACTTCAGATTAACATGGCTAACCACCTCTCTCTCTTGCACCAAAATGCCTCACTGTAGGTTTTTTTGGTTAGCACTATGGGAACAACATTTAAGTTGGCATTTCCAGATAGTACTGTCATATAGAGGGGAGAATAATAATAGTTTGCAGGGTTAATATCCCATGAAATACCATGGCTGAACACAATTGAAATCTAGCACTGGAAAAATGAGATTTCCAGTACTATATACCATTATTTTTAGTTTCTTTTAGGTCACAAGATGCATAGAACTTTAAATTCATGTACATTATTTTAAAATTATTTTTTGTCATGACAGCGTAGCAGCTACCTAGTATCAACTACCTAGTACAGGGGTCAGCGACCCCCCAGCACGTGTGCCAAGCATGGCATGCAAGGCCATTTTGCTCGGCACACCACCGCCAGCCTAGGCTCTAAGCAGCTCCTACCAGCCATGGAGCCCAAGCTGCTCCCAACAGGCGGCTGGGAGACAGCAAGCCCTGCTGCAAGCAAACTGGTGTCTGTGGGTGGCTGGCTGCAGCCAGGAGACTGCAAACAGTTGCTCCAGGCTCCAGCATGTCAGTACTATGGCACCTTCCAAGATAGACATTGTGGTTTTTTCAGCACTTCAGCCAAAAAACGTTGCCTACCCTAGTATCATAGCTCCATGCTCTGGACAGCGGCACTGGTCACCTCCCTCAGTCATGCTACTACTGCCTGCTATCTAAAGAACATTTTGGTGCTGAATATAGTTCTGAAAGCTTAAGGTCCCAGGGCTCAGCATTTTACATTAATCATTAACTCTGGTTCAAGAGAGAATGGATGTTTAAAAGTACCGATGGCATTGAAGTGGAATTTAAGAACCAAGGTATTGATTGCAATGAACTGATTTCATTCTGTGCATCATCCAAAACAGTTGCATTAAAGTTTTTGGATATTTTTGTTGAAAAGTTACATTGATAAAGTATAAATTAAATCTGAGAGACTGTCTGCTGCTCCTTTTGATGCAAGCAATTTCTCTTTACATTTGGAAGGCACTACAAGACTTTATTGTCAAATTGAAAACTTAGAGTACTATTTTCTAAATATAATATTTTCTCCTCTTCAGTCAGTCTGTTGCAGCTTTTCAATAATTTAGCAGTTCATCAGGAGCTGCAAAGATGTACACAGCCTTGCAGGAGGGCGTACATCTCAAATGCAAATGATAATTTAAATTGTGAAGTTTGAGATGCTGTACAGATCATAACTAACATCTCTGCTCTTAAATTCATTACTTACTAATTGGGCTGGAAATGCTTTTTAGGCACTGGTAAAAAAGAAAAAAGAATCAGCAAACTTTTCTAGCCAGTTGTCCTGGGCAAGTGATCCAAAGGAAAATGTACAATCCCTATGTTTAGGCTGGGGAAGCATTTAGTCAGTCAAATGCCAGTGTGAAAATTCCTGTTCTCACTGGAATGTGTCATAGCAAATCGGGTCAGACATTTTTTTTTTTGATAAACCAGCCTCATGGTGCTGCCTACTGAAAAACATGCTGGATGGTTAGGGCTGGGCCCAATTAGTGTCAACTGAAATTAAGCTAGCTAGTAACAACCAAGTTTACTTATAATACTAGTTGCATGGTGTCATTTAATCACCGTATTGTAAAATACTTTACAAAGATTGGTATCATCCTGTTTTTACAGTTGAGAACACTCAGACATGGAGGTTAAGTTACTTGCCCAAGAGCACACAGTTTGTCAGAGTTGGAGAGAAAACCTGTTGTAGTAGCTAGGAGCCAACTCTCTCTAGAGTTGTTGCTCATACAAGTTCAACCAGGTATGAACCCTTAAAACAGGATAATCAATACTATGTTTCCTGGTTCTAAGAAAAAATATACTTTGACACATTGCTGGTAGCAGTTGTGTATAAACACACTAATTTTTTATCATGGAATCACCTGTCATGCTGACAGGATTAGTTGTTTGACCTGCAAGAGCCAATTAATCATTTCAGCCCTCTTCATACCTAAATAGTATCTTAGTTCTTCTAAAGAAAGTGCAGGTGTAGGGGATGAGGTACTGGAAAAATGGCAAGTAATTTATAGGTCTACAAGTAAGGCAGTAGAACTAGATTTTTCCCTGAAAATAATATAATCTCAGGGTACCCAGCCCTGAGATATTGCCTGGTTCTGTTGTTGGCCTGTACAATTTTCAGGGGAGAATCACTGGATTAGGAAGTCCTTGTTCCTTGAAGGAAACTGTATTGTATCATTTTGGGGGCTGTACATTTTTCCATCAGTTAGGTTTCCTTAATCTTATTCCAGAATGCAAAGTCAGGTGTGCTGCAGACTGTGAATACTTCCTGAAATAAATTGGCAGAAGAGTTTGGAAGCAATAAAATGTTGCACTACCACCTTCTCTCCCTAGAACTCTCAGCTCAACGCACTGGTCTGGGCTTGCCCATCACACATGGCAGAATGATTCCACAACAAAAGGATTGAAGACTTCCCTGTGACTTACTTAAAATTCATCATATGATCTGAACTGTCACCAAGAAAATTACAAACTTATATATGGGGAAATACATGAACAGGGATGTCCTGTTGGACACCAGGGCTTGTAAACTAATATGTATGAATGATTGTACTTGGGCAATAAAGCTGAAAGTTCCACCTTCCATAAGAAAAAATGTATGCTTTGTGTACAAGCAGTTTCAATGACATGTATGATTTCTGGAAATATTTGCATCATTTAACTTTAGTCAGAGGTCTTATGCAAGATTTCCATCTGGAGATTGATAAAAAATAACTTCTGCTTCTCTTTTTTTATAGGTTCTCTGGCACCTAGATATTTTCCGTCGCAGTTTTCGACAGATCACAACACACAAATGCATGGGAGATTCTTGCATCTTTTGTGCTCTTAAGGTAAAAAGCTGGAATAAAATCAAGGACAATTAAGTTTGGAGAGATTTGGAATTCTTCTCCAGTTTGTGTACATGGTGTTATGTTTAGTTTAACGTTGGCAGAAGACTTTTTGAGAAGAAAGTGAATCTGCTTAAATGCTGGCCACTAGAGGTGCACTGATACATTGGTCCAATATCAGATTGGTACTGATATAAAGAAAACTTGCTGTATTGGATATTGGCCCAATGGGGCTGATAATTTGGCCAATAAATGCTCGTGTTGCACACAGCCTCACCACAGCACTCAGGCAGTGAGGAGCAGACCCCAGCAGCATGGAGTGTTGCTTCTAGATGGTAAGTCTGGTGTGGTGGAAGGGGAGGAGAGAGAAAGGAGTGTTAGAGGGGGCAGATCAGTGCCCCCTGTGCTGAGGGAGGGGGAAGGGCAGGTGCTGCCCAGGTGTGGGGAGGAGGACGGAGCTGC